ATACAACATACAAGAATATAATCAATACTTAGCTAGTGAGGGCTAGTTACAATATGCACAGTTTAATGAACACAATACAGCATACAAGAATATAATGAATACTTATTAAAGAGAGTAAGTAGGGTTACCTATAAGAGACTAACTCAGCTCAGACATCCCTTTCAAATGTTCATTAGCCAGCAATATTCACAGACCTATTTTTATTACCTCATTGAGCCATGTTATGTGATGACTAAAGACTATAACAAAACTGGGTAGCATTTAGCAGAAAATGTGATATGTATACCCAGTATTTAGATATCCTTCACACAGATGACATGACACACTTGGTTCTATTCGGCGAAATAACGCGGGCAGTATAAATATGAGATATACCAAACAAGTAGAATGGTAGTAACAAAGTGCATGAAAAATTCCAGAAAGTTGTGAGAGAAGAAAGATTATAAGCTACTGAGAGCATGAGACTATTGAAGAGTATCAACTCTACAATACAATCATTAGTTGAATGTACTGTTAAAGCAGGACAAACAATCGCTTGTTAGAACTGTGGCACAAATCCACAAAAAATGTACTGCATCCATTGTAGTCTACATGTATGAGGTCTGTGCAGCATGCTCTTTAGGAATGTATGTACTTTGGAAGAGACAGAATATACAAACAATACGCCAACTTCAAGAATGACATCATCATTTTTACTTAATGTTAAGCCTTCCAGTACAGGACCTCTCAGTAACTCACAATCACTTTAGTTTAAGTTATGAGACCTGCTTCACCCTATTATAGAAAAGTTGGTGAAATATAAGCCTGGAACAATCAGGTGAACAATTTGATTATGGCCATGTTGTACCAGCTGTGAAGAATTGTAAATGGGGGGGTTATATGGTATGGGACATTCTGCAAAATCCTTGCAAGTTAATGCACTTTTATATACCAACAAATTTAGTTTGAAGTGTTATGTCTCTTGGACTTTTTGTAGTCTAGTAGGAAACAAGAGACTATGTGACACATTGTAAAATTTCTTCTTGTACTCATACCCAAAGAAACCTGCTAGGGCACTTCAAAATCTGAAGAGTCTATAAAATTCTCAAAATCCACCAGAAAATGTGAAAGGAAGAAGGTGACCAGTGGAGAGTGCCCACACATCACTCCAGACTTGGCAAAGTATTGCAATACTAGTTAGCTGCATAACATAGAATACCAATACAAACACCTTCCTCAATAAATTCTAGGCACAAAAAAAAAAACATGAAGTGATTCCTCATTCAAAGTAATTTCTAGTCCCAAGGGTTAGAGAAAGTGCTGTTTATGGAATAAGGTAAATCAAAGAGGAAAATCACCAAAACAACAATAAAAACTTACCCTAAAGAAAGCTCTTAAAAAGACTGCAAAATAACCAGAGAGGGCATTAAGAAAGGAGGAAAAGGGGTCCTCATGCAAGTCTTCAATTGAGCAAGTAGTAAGTAAATGGGATATGTTCAAATATGTGGTGTACAAGGAAAAACAATCCATATTCTTAAACAGTAAATATAAATCACGTGGAGCAAAATCTTTAACCAAAACATGAAGCTAACGGATGAAGAATTATCAGAACTTTCAGTGACACATGGTATCTAATGTTAAACATTAACAAAATATTTAGTACACAATAGGTTAAAATAAATAATCAGAACAAGCAAGAGTCACAAATAAGGTAGATTAAACAATGTAAAAAACAAAAACAGATTTTACCTCCCTTGTCACTTAAATCAACATAAAAAAGTAACGACTACAATATGAATAAATATACCTAATATAGAGTCTAGAATGTAATTATCCCACAAATTTTTGAAAACAAGATACAAATCAGAAGTAACAACAGTATTATATAACAAGACAACAGAAAACACACAAAGTATAATTTAGTGGATGTCAACGAGTATGCAAACAACAAAAGAGTAAAAGAAAGTACACTGTGATGTCTTGATATGTTGTAAAAAGAAATACTTCCTTAAAGGAAAAAAATGTAAAAAAAGGCATTAGGTGTAAATGGGAAGGAGTAAGAAAAGATACAGCAGATCAACATGAAATAGACAACCTGTCTGTACATGTTCTTTCATTTGCAAAATATCCAATAACAAAAGAGATGATAAAGTTAATGAACACTGCTTTGTAACAATATTTTAAGAGTAATTCACAAAGAACTTTCAAAGCAAAAGGTTAAATCAAGTTTGAACATTTCATGACACTGGAAACCAGCAGATCCTAACATGAAGTGTTCCGAGGTTACATACAACACAGTGTGCATACAAAAAGAGGTGTGACCACTTTTGACTGATGGTATCTACACCATGACTAGAACAGAGGGCCAATTCCACACGATGATCAATATGATTATGATTGTTTTTCTGTGCTAAAAACAACCACTATCTCATATCATATTGATCATCAGTTCTAGCAAAATCCATGCATTTTTAAATGTCAGTGGATGGAAAGATCACTTTTTGGGAAGAATTCTGACTTGCTAGGAAATCTGATCAGTAATGAAATTTATTAGTGATGTCATAGATACAAGAGAGATTCTGAAAGATATACTCCCAAAACTCTCTAGAAGTTGAAGACTACATATTAGGCAGTATGAGGAGCATCTGAAAAAGCTACATTTCAATGAGTGAATGACAGAGAGGACTTCTAACAGTCATGTTCTCCCTGTCCATCAAACAGAAAAGTTATTTGGTGATTGAAAAAAAAGAAGAAAAATGTGGCAATAATTCTGGTTAATCAATACTAGCTGAGTGTCTGGTTGGTAAGTCTGGTTTCTGTAAAAAATACATTCAATGGCAGAAAAATCTGCTAAAATAGATGAGATTATACAAACAATGGGATGAAAAGAAATAATCACACCTGCCTTTCCATTTAAGAGTAAGCCTAGATAAAGGTTTACATGAAAAGAGCTGGCTTCCAAAAGAATGATTTTTTAGCAAGAGGAAAAAGAACACAGACAATTACAAAGTGGAAACTGAGCAGGCAAAGTTAGCCAATTATTAGCATCCTCAGTCTAGGACTAGTGAGCCTAGAATATTTTCACACATTTTTGAAGTTACAAAACAAGCAGTACAAAGTTTTTAGATGAATTTTTGAGGAAGCCCTGCACAATCTATTAATATATGCATGATGATGAATCTCATGCACATGTATTCAAAATTATTAAAGAAAACGGGACAAAATGAAAGCCCAAACATAAGAAAGTGTCTACCCTAAGCCATCACATCAATAAGCCTACAAACCCATGCATTTTTAAATGTCAGAAGATGAGAAAATAAATGTTCAAGTATGTGAAACTTCCTCTGGATTAAGAAGGCAATACCTTAGCCACAACTGAACATCAAATAAACAACATGTCAAAGTATAATGGCCTGATGAACATGTAGAAAATGAGAAAAATAAGTGTTATATTAAAAAAACAAAAACACAAGTGTTGTGAACAGAAGAATCCAAAACCTATTGGCCTAATGAAATACATATAACATGGAAGAGAAGCAGATAAGTTACACTACAATAGAGAGTTAAAGAAACCAGAACCACATCCAGGAGCATTGAGAGTCAGCATGGGCCCCAGGACAAACACCCTCACTGGGCCCCCTTTCTCTCTCTTTTTAACATTCTTAAGAATATATTAAAAAGAAGATCCTAAATTAGGATAGAAGCATAGAAGCAGCCATTTTTAGCTGATAGTATAAGCATGAAAACATTAATAAAGTAACAACATATATCTATTAAAGCTATAAAGTTAAAAATATATATTAATTATTCCTCAAATTATTATTTCAATCCTTCTTAATGTATCAAGTGTTTATAAGCAAAGAAAAGCCAAAAGCTATGATTTTTATGATTAAATGAAGATATAGCCTAAAGGTGCTTTATGGTATAACCAGGTTCAATTCGTCCTGGCCCCTGGGCAGTTGCCCCCTGTTGTGGGCCTGACCATATCAGACTTACTGGAAATTGAAACTCCCAAGAGAAATTTGGGAAAGTATTCAAAACCTCACAAAATGATAGACAAACTAGAAAAAAGAAATGATTAAATTTTCTTTATAAGTAGCTAGTCTTTGGTGGATAAGTTGTCAGATGCAATGCTCAAGTACAAATACATCTAAAACACAAATAACCAGTAAGATTTTCTAAGGAGCATGCTTCAAAAAGTAAACACAACCTTTATTTAGATCAAGGGAAATTAATACATCTGACAGAAAATCAGAAACCAATGTAAAGGGAGGAAGTAATAGAAGAATGGTATTTAGATACGTATTAAATCCAAGCAATAGCTACCTATCTAGATGTATAGTCACATATTTGAGGGATACTGTTTATACAAACTTTTACTTCAGAATCTGAATATTAGACTTAAAACATTCTTTGCTTCATAAAATAAATAATAACTCCAACGTTTAAAAAAATGGACAATAATTTATTGTATAAAGTTAAAAGCAAGAGATACAATTAAAATCTCTATTTAATAAAAACTACATATTTCAGTGGAAAAAAATCCACCATCTTCAGGAGACCACATATTTACTTTATGAAATCTATGCACCAGATTGGTCATAGAATATATTCATTCTTTGCTTATCAACATTAATTCATAATAACTGCTTAAGGAACAAAAGGAGCTTTCAGCGAAGGTAAATACAGAATTACCAGTTGTTGGATTACAAAAGGGTTATGAATACTAACATAAAAATAACACTACAAAATTTACTCCGAATTTTATGTGCACTCAAGGGACATTTTAACTAAATTCAATAATTTAATGCAAAAGGTAAATAATTTCACAATACACATAACATGCAACTAATAATAAATCTTGTAGTAACTCTCACACTAATTCTGAACTTTTTCTTGTATGGCAGTTAATCTATTGCATAACTACTGAAGTTTTAATTTTGACACGTATATTTCCAGAAGAATGACATAGTAATATACTCTAGGTGTTATCTCTCTTTGTGAAATGCACATAAACTTACCACGGAATTTCTTTGGTGGAGTGGTCAAGTTCCCTGCCTCAGGGTTGACAACACACCTGTCATCTACCAACCTAAAAACACGGAGATTAGTTAGTAAGTTGTATCACCATATCTTAAAATAAAACAAATACTATACTTTTCTAATACTTAATAGTAGATGCTGCTAATACCTGCAATAGATGTATGTAAAAAGTATCATATCTGCCACTGAAAGTTCTTTTAATAGTCTCATATTACAATTTACTACAATAAATGCACTAAAGCCACACACTGGTTTTTTATATAATATTGTGATAATTGTCAATAAATTATGTATACTAATATACACATTAATTATATATCAATAAGAAGTTTAAAAGAATCAACTCCAAATTTCCAAACAATCTTAGATAAAAAACTTACAATAGAAAATGACTAACCTAAGGTTACCTAAAAGCATTTTTCAATCTTCTTAATTTTATATTTTGGTGTAAGCATAAAGGAGAGTAAATGAAACTGAATTGTCCAAAAGCATTGCAGAACTGTAATTAAGGTTTTAACTCTTTGTACAAGAACTATTGATACTTATTTAATCTTTTTTTTTTTCATTTACCTGCTAACAAAGCACAGAATTATGCAAAATCAAAAACAATTATTGTTCCCAAAATCTTAAATGTCTCATAACACATTACTGTTCCCAAAACTGTGTCTATCTCAAATGTCTCATAACACATTATTGTTCCCAAAACTGTGTCTATCTCAAATGTCTCATAACACATTATTGTTCCCAAAACTGTGTCTATCTCAAATGTCTCATAACACATTATTGTTCCGGAAACTGTGTCTATCTCCAATGTCTCATAACAAATTATTGTTCCAGACATTTTTTTTTATTTTCCCAATATTTAATTTTGATAAAGGTGTAATAATCTAAAATGCTTACTTTTACATTTAACAGAAATGGAACAATGGCTAAGATCAATAATTAAGATGGTTTAAAACCGGGGAAAGAAAAAAAAGACTAAAATGAGTAGATGACATTAAGAATATTGTAGGTTTGTTGAAGAGGAATGTATGCTTAAACAGGCATCTGATCCTTTGAATCCGAGTTCAAGGAGTACAGACTGTTTAAAAATAAGTTTTACATATCAGGTGGACTCACTTTATTATAACACCATTTTGTTAATATGTGTATGGAGCCCATATATTGAGCATAAGCCACTGAATATTTTTATATGATCTCTGCAATTTTACTGTTTCTATTCAGTTCTCTTGTTTGTCTATTTGCCAAGTACTCAATAAATAAAACAAAGTAAGTGATGGTTAAATAACAAATCAGGGAACATGCAGAGTAAACAGAGCAAAAACTTAGTTAGAAAAACAAACTATAAGTAAAGTGTTCACAAAAATGTTACCACAAAATATATACACGTTTATATTGTTTTTGCAAGGCTGCAAATATTAAAAAAAAAAGTTATACTGTATAACAAAAATAATTCACATACACACGTGCATCAAAAATGGCACACCAAATATCACTTTTGTTTCACTGAAAAGTTCCAGTGATGTACTGCAGTCTAACTATTTTGATTAATTACACATCTTTCAAAATTTGACATTACATGTACTAAGTGAGCAAAGAATAATGAGGTCAGTCAAAGAAATTTTAAAGTAAATATTTTTATCTAGCTTACTCCGAGTAATCACCTTTCACTTCACAACAGCCTTTTCATTGGCACTATAAAAAAATCATAGTTAGTTAGGTCTGAAAACACACTTTCTGCCAGTTCACAATTACTAGATAAAACTGATGTTTTCAACTTTAAAGTAACATAAAATAATGGGTTGAACATACCCCAAAGTGCTAAGGTAACCCATAACATGGCCTTCTGAATACAGTGAAACTATGTCTCCAATATGGAGGAAACTTGTTGAACCTGTTAAATCTCCCATGACGATAAGGCACTAAACAGGAAAACCTCAGATTAAATCATGAAAGTTGAGAATTTGAATGTTATGCATAATAAACTGGAGACTTCATCTGTATCATCTTTGTCAGTACATACATATGTAGAAATTACATTTAGTTCATATTTTCTGATTGTGAGTATTTCTCCTGGTATGGGTTCATCTGAAAAAAACAAAAAACATGTTATATCTACCTACAGAAATACATGCATTTACATGTATTCATTAAGCAAATGTTAACCCATACAAGTACAATATATTGTTACTTTTGTTTATTTCTGTAGTGGTATACATGCATATGCATTACTGTACATGTATGTAATTTCTAAACACCTGTACATATCTACAATTGCACACAACTTCAAAATCTAAAATTGTTATCACCTTTTTAAGACAATTTTACAAATTAAATTTTGCATTGGTCTACATCTTTCACTGGGTCAGTTATATTTATAGAATATAAACGACACTGTAGATACTACACTTTTTTTTTTATTAGTATAATATCTCAACATCACCGATACAAAACTTGATATCTGTATACGATAAACATCTACAACGGTAAATGAATAGTGCCAGTGACCATCCACGAGGGTAGATAGTTGACGAAAATTAATCTCATTAATAATTTTTTTTTGTAATTGCAAAACAGTATGAAACTTAACCTTCTATTGCACATTGTAATGTACAGACAAATGTATCTTCAATTCTGTAGTTGAATGCTCTTACTTCTATGTAACAGCCTAAACAAACAATGAAATTATTTTTGTTGGTTCCTGAACTGACCAATGTTACCTACAGGTAATGTACCCGTTTATAATTGATCAAAATATATTTCATAGAAATATTTTTTGTGCAATATACATTTATTTAAGTAAGAAATTCAAATAAAACACTTTTTTCCCACTGTATTTTCATAATGCATGCAACAGATGGTTAAAATGTGAATTTTTGGAGGGGATTTAGAATTAAAGAATCTTAGTCTGGGGACTAGTACCAAAAAAATTCAGCTAACTTCTTTTGGTTGGCTTTCATCTATCATGTTAGCCTAGAGCTGGATGATTGGTAGAATTGCATAATCCATTAATGGTCTTGCTCATTAACTGATTACATTCATCAATTATTCTCACATGAGATTTGGATAGTTTAATTAATCTAAATTAGTAATAACTGGAAACCCTAATTTCAATTAGTTGACTATTTTTATGGATCATGACACTGATCAATTAAGCCGAACAACCTTGAGTTAATCAAAAATAATAATAATGAAACATCAGCAATATTTCAATCACTTGAACATTTGGAATAATATAAATCACTAACTTTAATTAGTTGTGACACTAACTGATGTGATCAGTACTCACAGGTAATCAGTTAATTGTGCAGCTCTTGAGCAGACTACAGTTTATGTAGATATATTATTTTAATACTACTTGCTACAGGACAAAATTATTTGAGAAAATAAAACTACTTAATACAATAAAAATGCAGAAGTAAATATTATAAGGCATACACGTTTAAAAATCTTAAGTTTCATTTTGAACCCTAGAGTTATCACGTTTTTGTAAACTTTCATGCACCATCTTACTTGGATGTCCATAGCATCATTGGTTATGGAGGCCCGTAACAACATAAAAAATTTTAAACTAAAATCCATAAATACTGCAATCAACCCCATTAGTTACTGATTGGGTTTCCTATGTATTTTTCAGAAAAAACAAGCATTTTTTACTTCACTTAATGTTGTTTTTTTTTCAGTTCTTTATGTCAGTATTGTAACATTAAAAAAAAAAATTTCTCAATATGATATAATAAATGTACCCTACCAGTAGTGCATAACATAAAAGAAATCATAAGAGGGTTAAACAGAAAATATTTTCTATTTTAGTTATTATTTTCTAAATTAGTTGAACTTATAATTTGAATATTTTCAAGACTTAATTTCACCTTAGATGATTTCATGTTTTTTTTTTCTTCTTACATTAGGATGGAAGTACTGTATTAAATATTTAGAAGTTTAGCTTCATGAGAGTCACTTGAAAAAATGGTATCCATATACTTATTCAAGCAGCTTCCAAATCTGGTATATCTTACAATAACATTCATGAGTTTTTATAGCAGTATCAAATAATCAGCAGTTCACAAATTTATAAAAATCTAAAACAAGTTTAAATGAATTAGTTTCTGTTTCACTAAGTAATTTTGTCAACTCACAACATCAGAAACACAGATGAATGCCATTCTACCAGTTTCTCCATTCACCCCAATTTTAATCATCAATATAAAATTTTTAGCCCTTTAGTATGAAACAAAACACCCTCAAGTTTCAGTATTTCTATAAAATATATTACACACAAAATTAAACATGAACAAAACCCAACGATACACAAAATATCACATTAAAATTTAGAAATCTCCATTAACAAGTATCCAGAGATACTGAAACAATCAATACCAATCATTGTAACACTAATTCCGATAGGTTTTTCATTCCCAAGAGAACTGCTGTAGACTAGACCTGTTATTTTCAGTAGACTGGTTGAATTGACAGTTACTATATCTTTTTGACATAAATGATAGTACCCTCTAAATTTTTCTCTAGATCTAAATCTCTAAGATTTATACTAGTTATCATGAGCGCTAAATACAACTCTACTAATGCTATCAGTCCAGTTATCACACAGATAAAAATTATCAAATTTGTACAATAGATTACAACCATCTCAAATTCTGCCACATTCTTGTAAAAACATATGGAACTGTTCAAGTCTCTACATAGCTCAAATGTTTAACACGAATTATCATTCTGGTAATCATTTTGATATGATGAATATCGTTTTTATGATTAGAAAACCAAAGTTGAACTTAATACTCTAACATTTTCAAAAACAGACATATGGACAAAGTTGTAGATATAGACTCAACATCAAGGTCATCTCTTACCTACTAAATGTTTTACAATTTCTGAGACATCTTGTTGCCTTTTGACCCATAAAAGTTATCCTGAATCCCAAATGCTCTCAGAAACATAAAACTAATCACTAAATCCAGTCCTGATCCCACAAATATCCATCTATCCTTTTCATAAAGTTCCTAAAAAGTTGCAGCTTTAAAAATCTACAGTGTAATTTCTTGATACCATAACCATACTAGAGAAATAAAACTGTACCAACTGGGATCCTGCCTGACCTTTCCAAATCTTCAAACATGTCATACTGCTCTTGGAATTCAACATGAAAAACGCTGATTAATTCCCTTAATAAATTCAAATGCTTCAATTATATCACCCATCTCTTTTCAAGAGATTGGGCATGTAAAAAGATTACAATTATCCTCCTTTGACAGCCCAGTCATACCTGGGATCATCTTAGCAGCCATCCTCTGAGCTCTTTCCAACAATTCAATATCTCTTCTAATACAAGGTGGACAAAACTGCACATAATATTTGAAATGACACCTAACTAATATCTTATAAATGAAACCTTGGCCTCTTTAGACTTGTAACTAATATTTCTATATACACGTACAACCCCAAAGTCTGTTACTGTTAACTTTACCACTTGCAATTTCCCTTCAGTAAATCCATGTTAATATTTTTTTATATCACATCTATGTTATTTTGCAGCAGTAAACAACATATCTACAGAGTGATCATTCCACAGTTCATATCTATCAATGGAATATATTTCTGTCAAATACATGAATCCGTATCTTTGTTACAAAAACTAAAATTATTACCTCTAATGATCAAGTTTGTATTACTAAACTTTTCATTTCATTTAAACACACCAAACCCTGAAAGAAGTTTTGAGCACATGAATTAAGTTATGTCTCATTTCTTGTACTTCAGATAAAATAAATTTAAATTTTTAAGCCTTTCCTTGTAGCTTAAATCAATTAAACCACATGCCATCCTAGAATTCATTTATAGGCAACCTATGACCAGGATAGTTTATTATTATTCAAGTGTATTTTTTTGACTTATTACTGATAAAGGGAGTATTGCAGCCCTTGAAGACTAAATGTGTGGCTTGCAGATTAACATAAGTTGCCAACTACTGTATTTACCCATCTTTTCACTCTTTCCAACATGTTATCTTTCCTGTAGTAAAAAGACCACAAAATTTCATGGTACTCCAAATGAAGCCAAACCAGTCTTTACAAGTTTACAGTAGTTTCATTTGTCATAAATTTCAAAATCCTAAGAACTCTATTTGCTATTTTTCCCCACAGCTAATCACTAAACAGAGGTTTTAAAATTTCATCAATAATCACAACTATACCTTTACTTTTTAACACAAATTTCCATAATCCAAGTGCATAAACTTTACACTATTAAAATTTTCAGCTTATTTAACACTAAGTTTTCCACTGCCCCTTTGAATAGCAAGCCTTTTAAATATTCATCTCTAAAATCTTAGTATCAATAGAGGATATAAAAAAGTACTGTTCAAGAAGATATTCAAATTATAAACATAATTAATAAAAAATCAAGGTCCCAAAGTAAACCCCGAGACTAAACATGGATAACATTATAAAGATAATCACAATGCTGTGCAATCTATCTCTTCTTTAAAAAAATTGCTTTGAACACACACTAAAATTTTAACTTCCAATATCAATTCATTCAGTAGAAATTATTCAAGTAAAATCTTAGACCTTATATGAAATGGAGCCTGCCTATTGTTTTTTAAAGTAACATGTACTTCTCACTCACAGTTGTACATGTACATAGGGCTTCTCCTTGGACACTGGAAGTGATTTTTGCAATGACTAATCCTGTGTCTCGTCTATATAGAAGTATTTCTTCAATTTTACAATTGTTTACATTTACTTCACTCATTCTTAGGTACTATTTCACTTTTTCATTTAATTTAACATATCTCGACAAATCTAAAACAACTATCACAGTCAATTCCTCATAATTTCCAAAACACAAGTTACAATCATTAAAAGTCAGATACTTTTGTAAAGCTTAATTCGAAACGCTTCTTACTCTTTTTTTAAAATTCGAAAAACAAAATCTTGCAGGTGCAAATGCTGGTGTTACTGCTAGTCAAACTCAAAACAAATGAAATAGTAACACAAATCACTACAGTATTATTATTATATTAATTTAAACTATGCTTTTGCTACTAAATTAAATTATTTTCCTAAAAAGTAGAATTCTAAACTCCTAACAACAATATGAATGATGCATTCAATTTTCAAAGCTAAACACACTCAGGGAATGGTAAGTCTAGGCCTAACGGATATAATGAGATATCCGGAAATATAAGATTCAGAAAACTAAAGTCCTGAATAATTAATAAAGTTATCCATTTTTAACTGTTAAAAAGCTTTAGATATTTCAAGAATGGTTTAATCGAACATGTGGCTCTTCACCAGTTTCATTTTATTCTTACCATTTTAGAATTTACTCAGTTGAACACTATAGTATAAAATTCCCACACTTATCCACACCATGACACATACAAACAGAACTCAGTCCGTATATGACTTACAAGTTCAGAACAGGAAGTTATACGCCACTCATAACTTCAGCTGATTTGACAATCGACAAATGCAAAAGGAAAATCTATACCCATGCTAAAAACTGGTCTGAATAGTTCGCAAGTAAACTATAAAGCTTTCATTCAGGAAAGTCGTATTACTGTAATTTATTGCACGATAAAAATTTCGAAAGTTCTATGGTATATATATTCCGATGGAATTTAGCTTAAGCCTTAAGTATTCAAAAAATTACCTTAAAACAAATTCACCAGTATAGTTCATTACTTCAACTTCAAAACAAATTTACCTAGTTTCATTATGCTAACGTAATCAAATTCGTCCTTGCCATAATATCTAGGAATTGAATTTTATTTGCGTATTTAAAGAAAACATATAACAATATAACATTAATGCGTTATATCATTATAGGAAAGGAACTGTGGAAAATATCACCAAAATATAGGCATGCATAAGGAACTTCTTGAAAACCAAAATAATATTTAATGAGTATCATATTAGCAACTATCTACCACCGAATATACTTATGTAAATAAATTAAGCAATTAACTGGAAAGGTAGTATTCAGAATATACCGCAATTTTTTATGTTAATAAAAATGTTTATCTATAACTTCATATTCTCTATTTGTGGAGAAAAACATACAAGATAGGCAAATAATCTTGGAATGTATTAGTTTAATTAATTATCTCGTAAAATCTATGTGAAATTATTCAATGAAATATTAAAGTTTTACGCAAATCAGGCACAATAGAAAATACAAGATCAAAAGAATGTTATAATGGCATAAAACAAGAACAATAAAATCAGCCAAGACATATATTCACTATCTAGAAAGCGTATCAATAAAGGAGAGGAAATAAAATTAACTTATTTTTTCAATAAAAATTCTATTTATAAATGTGATTATTAGAAAATCATTTTACTCAAAAATCTGCTTTAAAATAAGTTAAATGAATGAGAAGAGTGTGCTTTATTCAAAACATAGGATATTTATTTTATGGATAGGCTTTCTTTGATTAACAATTCAAGGTCACACTTACCATTATATATTGTTGTAAGCAATGTTTTTAATATTGCAATTTAGAAGTTAGCTAGAGGGAGCTGCGGTATTAACGATGACGCTGAGATCAAAAGTTTTAATAAGATCATCATAACACCTAGAAAATTCTAATGGTGTGACCAAAAGTGTTCTAACACATTCAAAGCTAGATTGTAAATACAAACTGTTTGTGAAATATGTGCTTGGTGGCCATATGTCCTGGTCAAACTAGGACTGTTCCAGTTTAGACCTATATATGTACCTGTTACGACATCGGAAGTCACGCGACGCTGGGAGCATGCGCGCTGGAGTTTCTAGAAGGATTGTGACTTATCGGGCAACCTCACCAATGACCCAGAGTTTGCTAGACGCCCTCTTTTTTAGTATATAAGCCGGAGAAAAATTGAAGAGAAATAAGTGATAACTGAATCAAGCGAACAGTAGGCACCGTAAGTAAAGTGTGTGAATAGCTCTGAATTATAGCGTGTGTTTATAAAAGTAGTTAAGTTTAAAGTGACTGTGGAAAATAAGTGTATTACAAAGTTTGTAACGAGAAAGAATAAACTAGTTTTAATCAAGAAGGGACTTGTATTGCTGTAGTATCTCGGAAAGAATTTTTACCGGAAATTATCAAACGAGCAGATACGCAAACCGGTGTTCCGAAGAGATCTTTCGAGGTCAAAGATTTAGATCAAAGCATTACTTGAGATGATGAAATTATTAAGACAAGGTCGGAAAAATTGAAAGAGCAACCAATAGAAAAAGAAAAGAAAACCAAGAAAAAAACTAAAAAAAATTAAAGGTCAGGAAGAAAGAGATAATAAAATAAAAGGAGTATCCAAAGCAAAATACCAGAACAGGTTACAGAGGAAAGAAGAGACCTTGCAAAAGATTTGGAAAGGCTTGCCCAATTATCTTACCAGGATACTCCTCATTAAATGATGGATTCGTTGGCACCAATTTATAAACTCCATAATAGAAGAGGATATGAAAGTTAGACTGAAGCAAAGTAGGTGTACATCTTAAAAGGAAGCTCTGTACTTGGCAATGGAACTAGAATCTATTATAGTCACAGATATAGAGTTAAAAACATCATCTCAAAGTTACATTATTGTCAGATACAGTAGTGTTGAAACATCAACTACCACTCACGATAGCTTAAAATAATTAAAAGTATTGGTTAGACAACTAGTTACACATAATGGAGGAGACAATACCCAAAGATAATCTTTGAGCACAACCATATCAAAGGAACAACAAAGGGCTAACCAGACATTGAGAAACATAAATTACCCGGACTTATGGGAAGAAGTTCGACTAAGAATACCCAATCTGCCTATAATGAAATAAGAAGTTCATTGTTTAAAGAAACCAGTCCACAAGTTTATACAGAGCTGGATTAAAGGGCCTAGAGGGCCTAAAGTGGAAGAAAAATAGATGGACCAAAACATGCGACGAAAAGTGAATGAGAATCAATGACTGAGAAGAGTTTCTCCTCAAGTGCCTCATTTATTGAATATATAAGTATGAATATAGATTTATGGTATTACAACATTTTCACATCATTGTGTTACTGGTCTTGCAGGGAACAAATTCGTTAGTAGTTTCAATTACATTTAGTTATCATAGTGATTTATTTTCAAGGCATAGAAGTGTCAGTGCATTTAATTGACTTTGACCCATAGTTGACCATATCATGTTTTTGATGTGCTTCAAAATCGAGAATGATTGCCTGGTAGAGCAATTATTGATAATGAAGCACAAGTGTAGGTTTAGAACCATGACCATGTTTAAGAAGATGTATGTTATTGATTGGATAGAAATAAAACTGCACATTTGTATTTCCTTGGATTTGGTTGTTTCAGGAGCACATCTTGCATAGAGTGACAAATTGAACCATTTCATTTATTGTGGCTTGTTCAAGGTTGTAAAGGCATACTTGCACCACATGCCTGGCTGCATCATATAGGTCTTCAGTGGGCATAGAATCCACTTTTGATAGAAATACAAACCTTTCTAGAATCTATTCCAATGTCATTAGCCCTCAATTGAAGGCTTATCCATTATGGTGTTGAAAGTGGGTGATCCCTGGTTCACAAAAATGATCCCATGTTTGGTCAAAGACCAGTATCCAGGTTCCAATGTCATAATAAGACGTTGGTCTTGTTTCTGTTTCATTAATGCTATTTGAGTCATTGTATGTGTAGTTCAGTAAGCTCGGGCTGAAGATAATCAGTTTTAACCAAATATGTACTTGTTACAATGTTATCATAACCATTACTAATGGTAGTGCTGAGCTAAAAATCAGAGGAAGATACCCACAGATCTGTCAGCTTCTTAGTTCTAGCTAACACCTCCTGCAGCCTCTCATCTTCTTCGTTTTTTTTTGCTTTCAGTTTTTCCCACCTGCTTTTGTACTTGTGTATTGCACGACATTTTCACGTTACAGAAGGATATAAAAATCATTCAGTTTTTACAGTGTTTCTCTCCTAAAGTCTGTGTAGGGTGAAGGATGTTTTGGATTTAGAGTGTTTGGGAAAATATAAGCATACCTAGTGTGTTCTAGGTTTTGATCGAATTTAAGACAAACTCTAGATACACAGCAATGTGAATGGCGCAAAAGCAATGAATAAATTATTAATTTTTGAAAAACATTATTCATCATGCAGAGTAGTTATTATCAACTCCCCTTTTGCTACAAATATAGGGGATTTCTAATCAAATGAGATGACTTTGAAAATATGACAGACTGTATTGCAGATCACACATGGGCATATTCCAGCACAGAAACAATCTTAATGCACTTTAGACTCATGCATAAATTCTAATTTTTCCTGCACTTACAATCACTCAGCTTATATAGAACATTCTAGATTTTACCAGAACAATCCTAAAAGTACTTGTAACTTTCAAGCGGCTGCTAGTATGCATTGAGCCTAAATCAAGGTTGTGATCTACTTAACCTGTAGCTGGCTGCTAACAGGCTATTCAGCTACTGGGTATCTTTGTAACACCACGAGGCTGTAAAGTTAGTATTTTCACATCAAAGAAAACTGAAAGTAGTCACATTTGAGGAATGATATAGGAAGTCTTATGTCAAACCCTTACATAAGGACAGCATACCACCTCACTTAAAAGAGTTGTTGGTCTGGAGTTGATCATCACTGGAGGTTGCATAATTTGCTTGTGGAATATGAAGATATCTTCTCCAATGGACATCACAACTTAGGCCAGACAACTAAAATACCTCATAAGATTGATTCTGGAGATGCAGCTCTAATACATCAGTCAGATGGACAACTTCCACTTGCAAAACAGGCTGAGGCTTTGAAAGAGATAGAAGCCATGAAGGAACAAGGAGTGGTTGGAATGAATATTGGCCATGGACATCAGCTATTGTGTTTGTGAAGAAGAAGGATGGATCCATAATGTTCTGCATGGACTACTGGAAGATGAATGAAGTTACAAAGAAGGATGTCTAACCATTGCCAAGAATTGACTTTACCTTGGATGCAATGTCTGGATCAAAATTATTTTCAACATTGGATCTTAAGAGTGGATATTGGCAAGTGGAAGTTGGGAAAGCAAGTAGAGAGAAAACAGCCTTTACTACAGAAAATGTATTGTATAAATCTACTATGTTACTATTTAGATTATGTACTGCTGTTGCTATATTTCAACCATTAATGGAGTATACTCTGCCTGAGCTACCCTAGAACATCGTACTGATTTAGTTGGATGCTATAATCACACATGGAAAGATCTTTGATAATGTTTATGAAGGGCTAAGGAAGGTTCTAAACTGGTTAAGGAAATAGAACTTTAATCTAAATTTTAAGAAGTGTGAATTATTCCCTCAACAGATGAGTTTCTGGAGACACAATTTGTCAACACCAAAGAACCTATATGAGGTAATATTATTTTT